CCAAGGAAAATATGCGAAGGTAGTATACAAACGAGTATAAGCAATTCGACGACAAACAAAGATAAGTGAAAACAAATTTAATTTTATTGTTTTTGATTAAAAATTATTAAACGATCTAATGAAAAATGAGTTTAACTAACAAGAATAATATAAAAATTAATATTGAAAACTTAGAGTCTCCAATTTTAAACTTTTTGAGAACTAACAAAAATGAATATAGTTTTTTGACTGAAATAAATATAAGTTGTCTCGACAACTCATACTATAAACCTGACAAGTTTAATAGAGAAAAAAACTATAGAGATTTTAGTATCTTAAGTGTAAACATAAGATCAATCAATAAAAATTTTGAAGCTTTTAAACATTTTTATTACTCTATAAACTATATTTTTGATGTTATACGTATCTCAGAAACTTGAGAAGATACAAAACTGCCTTTGTCAGAAAATTCTTTGAACAATTTATCATCTTATAAAATAATAAGTCAACCACGTGTTGGAAGCATGGGAGGCAGCGTTGCAATCTATATTCTTGACAAGTTTGTATTTAAAACAAAAAAGACTCTTTGTAAAGCAAACAAACAACTGGAATGTTCTTTTTAATAAACTTAATTTTGATAAAAATCTACCTCTCCAAATAGTTAACACTATATCTTCTTTATACCGTAGCGGCAGTGGAACTGTCTCATACCTAGGTTGCAAATCAGTCTCATTTGATCTTAAGCAAGGTGTCAGACAAGGATCGATTCTCTCACCCTACCTATATAACATATACTTTGAGAAGCTACTCAAAATTATAAAAAATGATGAAATTGTTGGTACTACTATATATGGAAACTTGACTTGTGTTATAGCTTATGCTGACGACATCATTCTTTTCAGCTCTACTCTCTCGGGCCTAAAAAAACTTATTTTAACGTGTAACATATACAACAATTTAAACGGGATAAAACTTAATGCTTTCAAAACGAAACTTTTGCTCTCTGGAAAAAGACAAATAATGAACTGCACAATATCTCTAGACAACCATCAAATTATACTTCGTGAGAAACTTAATCATCTCGGCTTTACCTGGGATACAAAAAAATCAATTTTCGCTTCACTAAATAGAATAAATATTGATAGTAGGGTATCAAATTTCCGTGAAACAGTGCAAACTCTTATTCAATCTGGAATCCGGTTTGCACATCCAAGTTCTATTATCCTATTATATAAATCATTAGCAGTTCCAACGTTAACCCACGGTCTAGAGCTCTGTGAAAATAAAGATGCAACAATAAAAAGACTCGACACATTTGGAAGAAACGCAGTTAAATCAATTTTTAATGTCTCCAAGTATAGTAAAAACTATATACACTCTCTATATAATATCTTTATCTATCTGTCTTTATCTATATCTATATATATATCTATATCTATATGTATCTATATCTATATATATCTATATCTATATATATCTATATCTATATATATCTACATCTCTCTCTCTCTCTCTCTCTCTCTCTCTCTCTCTCTCTCTCTCTCTCTATATATATATATATATATATATATATATATATATATATATATATATATATATATATATATATATATATATATATATATATATATATATATATATATATATATATATATATATACAAAGAGAAATAGAGAATGAGATCTCGAAAAAAGTATAAATATATAGGGATTGGTTGATAAATATTGATAAATTACTAGGATTTAAAATTTTTTTTTTTTATATAATTGTATATATATACCATTTTTTAAATAGTCTAATATTAAATAAAATGGAGCTTCACAACAAAAATATTAAACTTCTTTGCAGATTGCGGACAGTTACTTGGTAAAAAGCATTATTTTATAGGAGAAATTCTTAAAATTAAATTAGAGAAGCTGTTTCATGTTGAAATGACAGATTTGGAAATTTTCCCCTTTTAATCTTATCTTTAAAGTTGGGTTATTAATAGGGCGAAGAATATTCCTCGCATTTAATCTTATCTAAAGATTACTATCTTTTCTTATCTAAAGATTACTATCTTTTCTTATCTAAAGATTACTAAAGATTATTATCTAAAGATTACTAAAGATATCTTTAGTTGATCTGGTGTTTTTAGGCTTATATTAAACCATTTTTAAGACTTTTAATGCGTTATACCTGTTCTAAAGTACATATAATAGACCTATTCTAAAATGCTTTCTGCTTCCATGATTTAGTTTCTAGGCATTAATAAAAGTTCAATATTATACTAATTTAATACATCAACATTTATGCGGATTTTTCAAAATCTTATTTTTTATCATTGCAACAATCAAACTACCCTATAACTTTCAGATATTTAAAGTTGTCATTTTCACTACACTGGGTGTCATTATCAAGTCACTCCATGTAGTAAGACATTTTTTGAGGCGCCACTCAAAAAAGGTTTGAACGTTTCCGAAACAAGAAAGAATCCAAAAATGATCATTTAAAATCAATTCGATGCTATGCAAACGGTTACAGAATTTAAAAAAAAAAGGATTTTACCTGCTCCTACCGGAACGCTCTTTCTATATGTTATAAATGTTACAAAGATACAAATAAAGTTAGATCCCAGTTTACATTATTATAATCTAAATATAATTTGTTAATTAACATTTTTGTGAAGAATAAGGCCACTGCCTCAAATAAGTAAATAAATATAGTTTTACATTGTTCACCTCCCCAAGGACGAGGGGGTTACTACAGTTGAGGAGGCTACTCATTTTTTTGTGTTTTTTATTTTTCGTTCTTATTCGTGGTACAACCCTCTCTCAACTCTTTAACTCCGAAACACGAACCTTGATAAGCAAGGCCACTGCGTGGAGAAACTAAGTTGATATATATATTTAAATATGTTTTTATCACATTAAATAAATTTATTCATTTTAACTTTTAAAGGTCATATTTCTATATATTACTCGCATTTCCTTTTAAATGTCAATTTTTATATTATACCTAAATAAAAACACAAACAAGTTTAGAACTTAAAGCATAACTTTGATAAATTATTTAATTTTTAGATATAAAGCTATATAAAGTTTGTAATATTCGTAATAATGCGATAGAGACAAACGGAAGAAAAAGCAACATTAGTATAATTTAAAAAATATAAATTTATTTTATGCATCAAATAAATATCAATTAACACAAAGTAAAAGATCAAAATATAATTCAAATGAAAATATAAATATCTTTTATGCATTAAATACATTTTTTATTCTTTCAATTCTTATGTAAAAAATATTCTAAATATATTCATATTGATTTTAACAATCTCAAGCTGAAAAACATTAAAAAATAAAAAAATTTAAACGCGAAACACAAGAAATATTTATATCGAGTTCCAAGCAAAAGTCTTTCTGCTTTAGTTTACTTTTCCCTTCTTTACACGTTTCATCGTCGAGATGCCAATATGGTTGGAGTACTAAAAAAATATATACTATAATATTTGTTTGTTTTAAATCAACTTTTATCATAATTTAATAATTTTGAATCAATATGTACAAAACCAACTGATGATTCAATCGATAGAACCAAAATGATAGCATTCAATCGATAAAATCAAAAACATATCTAATGGTATTGCTTTGATGCAGGCAATACAGTTGATATATTTGACGTTATTGACTAAATCGAAACCCTGGAATAATAACATTCAAAATTTTGATCATAGATAAGAGTGCGCATAAATATATAATGTATGAAAAAATTTATACATATATATATATATCACAGATGTAGGTCTCGAGACCAAAGTCTTGGTCTCGAGATGCCTCGAGACACATATTTCACTGTCTTGGTCTTGGTATTGGTCTTGAAGCCTAAAGTCTTGGTCTTAGTCTTGGTCTTGAAGTCTAGAGTCATGGTCTTGGTCTTGGTCTCAGACCTCTACTGACTTACACTTTCTTGGCTCTTACGAAAAATATCAACTCAATAGGCCGGGTGAATAAAAAGAAGCGATTGCTTTTACTAAGTAATTGGTCAGCTTAACGTGAATAAAAACTTCAGCAATCTTGTCGAAGTTTTTATTAACGTAAAGCTGAGTAGTTACTGAGTAAATTACTTAACTTTACGTAAATAAAATTTGACCAAAACTTTTAAAGTTTTTATTTACGTAAAGCTGACCAATTATTGAGTAAAAGCAATTTCCCGCTCTTAACGGTAGCTCGTCGCGTTGGTTTGACAAATTTCTAAATTTATGTTAGGAGAATTAAGAAAAACTTTTTTAGATTTTTTTTAAAAATGTTTAATTTAAATAATTTATATTATTATTATTTTATTTGTGTATGTATTCTTTTTGTGATCATTGTTTAAAAATGCATAAATAAGTAAAAAATCAGTCCATAAAAATTTTATATATTGATTATTAAAAAAATTTAGGCAGCACTCATGTTAATAAAGTTGTAACGAAAAGTTAACAAACAGGTTAAATTTATAATTTAGAAAGAACGTCAATGTCAATATTTTTACTTTAAGAAATAAATTCCACTTTCCGTTTTTTAATAAAATGAAATAATTTTCTTTTAAACGTTTTTTAAAAGAGAACTATTTAATTACGTAAAAAAGGTTTTCTCCACCATAGATTTAAAGTCTTTAAAATAACTAAAAAACTAGCTTATTTTTAAATTTAGAAAAAAGGAGAAGTGCTTTAGTTTGAAAGAATTCGACAGAAATACTAAAGAATCTTTATTGTTTCGGTTCTTCATCAAATATTAACAATATATTGTTTATTGAAAAAAAAATTACTTTGTTCTTCTAAGTAAATCTACCTTTTTTGTTTTTGTTTTCATGTGTTTCTAAATTTGAGGTTTTTTAATATGCCGACCCTCTCATTTGTTAGCACCCATTTTCTTAGATTAACAATTAAAAATAAAAAACAAAAAAAAATGTTCAAATATATCGATGTTTTTAGAAAACAAAAAGTATTTTGTCTATTTAAATTATACCTTTCAACTTTTTAATTTTTTTATTTTAGACATTATAGTAATATTCACCCTGAAAAATACGCAGAGTATGTGGCACAGAAACATATTAATTTCAATCGCAAACAAATAATTATTGACACATTCTTCACAAAACGGAGTAGTTCGTACGGATCGCAACATTCTGACCAAATTAAAATTACAGACTCCTTAGTTGCAAACCTTATTGTTGGTTGCTCACTTCCATTATCTCTTGTCGAGAATTCAAATTTTCGGAAATTTATCTGCGATATGAATAACAAGTACGTACTACCATCACGAAGCCATCTAATATCTCAATTAATACCAGAGGCTGTTTAAGAAAAAAGAGAACTTATTTCAAAACAAGTTCAGTCCATTGGGTATGTAGGAATGACTGTTGATATATGGACTGATAGAAGGATGCATTCATATCTTGCTTGTACGGGATACTACTTTTCTGATGGCAAGCTTCAAAATTTTCTTTTGGCTTTTCGTCCAGCCAAAGGAAGGCATAATGGTCAATTAATTGCAGATGAACTAAATAACATCATTAAGCAAAATCAAATCAGAACAAAGCTAGGATGTGTTGTAACTGATAACGCCTCAAATATGAAAAAAAGCTTTTGATGTGCTCAGTGAATTACAGGCTAATGAAAGTGAAGATGAATCTAGACATATTGTTAAAGTTGATGACGAAGAAATGTGGAATGATCTGCATGAAGAAGATCAACTCATTGTGAACGAAGCTATCAAGCAACATGCAACTGAAAGATTGGCCTGCTATGTGCAATCTTTGCAGCTGTGTGTAAAAGATGGACTAACTCATCTGAAAACAGCTAACAGTTTGTTAGCCAAATGCTCAAAGCTGGCAAATTTAACGCATCAAATTACGCTTTTCCGTGGAAATTTTGAGTCAAAGTTTGGAAAAAGACGCTCTATACCAAAAACCAATGCTACAAGGTGGAACAGCATGTTTGTTCAGCTGTCCAGTATTATCAGGTTGGATCCTGTAAAACTTTCGGATTTGCTCAGAAGAGACCATAGTAATCTTATTTTGACACAACGTGAGATGGCAATGTTGCGTGAACTATTAGAAATTTTTCAGCCTTTTGCAGAGGCTACAGATTTGTTACAGGGTGATAGCTATCCAACAATAGGATGCGTTGTGCCTTCAATTGTTGGCCTGCATAAGTGTCTTAACACACTCAGCTCAACTGTCAAGTATCACATTCCACTGGTTAACGGTTTGTTGAGCTCCTTGTGTGACAGATTTGGTGGATTGTTGCAGAATGTCAAAATTTTGCCAACAGGTGACAAAACTAAGAAGAATCTAAATTTTTCTTCAATGCTGTACCTAATGGCCTCAGCCTTAGATCCCAGTTATTCGTTACTTTGGCTAGAGGAAGACCATCCTGGACCAGATGATGTCAAAAGATTTGTTCGTGAACATATTGCGAGTAAGTTAAAAAAGTTTTTATTTTTTTTATTTTTATTGAACTATTAAGCTGTTGTCGAATGGATAAAAAATTAACGGTCGTTTGTTGATTATAACGAAATTATTATAAGTATAATTATATTCTAATAATTTTGTTACAACTTGTCAGTTTTAAATTTTAATTGTTTTGTTTTTATACTTTACGTTGAAAATATCGATTTTTCAGCTCTTATAACAGCAGAGGTTTCGGCCATTATAGTAAAGTCGCAAACCACTCAAGATCTATTGGCACCTTCTACTCAAAATTTATTGCCCCCAACAGTAGAAGAGGAGGAACCTCAAGAACAGCTGGACCAAAATGGTGGTGCTAGTAGTGACGTGACTCTTTCATGCAAGCGTAAATCAACGCTTTTGGCTTCATACACAAAACGTCGTCAGAGAATTGAAATGAGACAACAAAATATTGTTCCAATGTCACCAACCACTAACGCTACAGCTCTCATGGAAAAAATAGTTTCAATTGCATCAAGCACTTATGGAGAAGAGGCATGGGTGAAAGCTCAATCTGCTGAACATTACAATATTATGAATCCTCTGATAGAGAAGCTTTTCTGTATTCCAGCTTCTTCTGCACCAGTGGAGCGCGTATTCAGCCAGAGAGGTTTAATTATGCGACCGAATCGTGCCAGACTGGGTGATGAGATGTTATCGTCTCTTGTTTATTTGAAATGTAACAGTGATGTGTAAACCATAATTTCTGACAATGTTTAGTTTGTTTTTACTAGAATTAACTAACGTGTTACATAAGTTGTGAAATCAAGTTGTACAAAAACCCGGTTTTTTATTTATGTTGTTTCTGAAATGACTCGTTACCTTTATTTTTTGTAACTATAATATGCGGCTACTGGTCTAGCATGTCTGCTATTTGTTTTTATACATTTTTTATTAGTACTTTTTGTTTTTAACATTACAAAAAAAGTTAGTTTCTTATTGTTGTTATTATTACTGAAAGTTTTCTGTTTTCATTAAATATATCTTTTGAAGACTGCAGTTGTGACGCAGTTTACACGCGTAACTACGTTTTATTGTAAGGTAATGTTTATGAATGCTAAATTATCACACCAACTAAGATCTAGTAGCATTCAAACATTTTTTTTGACACAAGCAAAAGCCCAAGCAAGTAGATCCAGCATTCAATATTCTAAACTGGAAACAATGTATTAATACGTTATAATATATTATAAATACATTTACACTAGCCTAAATAAAGAAAGGGCGTAGAGCTGGTCAATAAATAGTACCAGTTTACTCTTTACATTAGTGAGCATGGGTTTTATTGGACTTCTTTGAACCTAATTCTTGATCCCGGTCTTGTAAAAACTTTTAAAGTCTTGGTCTTGGTCTTGGGTTGATTTTTTAATGTCTTCGTCTTGGTCTTAGCCTTTACTGTCTTGACTACATCTCTGATATATATATATATATATATATATATATATATATATATATATATATATATATATATATATATTTATATATATATATATATATATATATATATATATATATATATATATATATATATATATATATATATATATATATATATATATATATATATATATATATATATATATATATATATATATATATATCAGGCGCGGATCCAGCATTTTTTGATGTTTGAGATAACTAACTTCCAGACATGGTACAAACCCCAAAAATTTATATGTTTATACTTATGTCAAATAAAGATGATTTGCAAAAAATTGCGATGATTGGAGTCTGGGAACAAAAAAGCCCCAAAATTTTGGCCACACAAACCCCAAACAAGAGAGCAACAAGATTTTATCAAAAATAATAATTGCACAAAGCTTTAACCCCCCTCAATTTGAGGGGGTTACAAATTTTGGAAGGTCATGTTTTTTGAACACTAAGAGATTATTGTATGAAATTTAGAATTTATCGATGAATATAAATTTACTTAAGAATTGTACAAAAAATATTTTATCAACTTGTTGCTCTCTTGTTTGGGGTTTGTGTGGCCAAAATTTTGGGGCTTTTTTGTTCCCAGACTCCAATCGTCGCAATTTTTTGCAAATCATCTTTATTTGACATAAGTATAAACATATAAATTTTTGGAGTTTGTTCCATGTCTGGAAATTAGTTATCTCAAACATCAAAAAATGCTGGATCCGCGCCTATATATATATATATATATATATATATATATATATATATATATATATATATATATATATATATATATATATATATATATATATATATATATATATATATATATATATATATATATATATATATTATATATATATATATATATATTAGGGCCTTGTCAATTGCTTCGATTCTTGAATCAAGTGTCGCTTCGATTCGAGTCCAAAAAAAAAGATTCAAGTTTATTCAAATCATATTTTTGCGAATTATTTTGCTAATGTTGGTGTTTTTTTAAAAGCATTTTAAATTTCTAAAGCTAAAATGTAATTAAAATGGGTTTATTATACCCGGTGGAGAAAGAGTAATTGAAAATAGTTCAAATATCACTTATAAAAAAACTCTAAAAATATAATCCGGGCAAGTTTGTTCAAAGAAATATTTTTATCTTTTTGGAAAAAAAAAAGCTTAAATGTGGCTTTCCACGAATAGCTGATTCGATTCATGATTCGATTCGCGAATCAAGACCTGCTTCGAGATTTAATTCGAAACAAACAATATCGATTTGCAGGGCCCTAATGTATATATATATATATATATATATATATATATATATATATATATATATATATATATATATATGCTATGTACATAAATTATGTATATATATATATATATATATTCTATGTATATAAATTATGTATATATATAATATATGTATATATATATATATATATATATATATATATATATATATATATATATATATGCTATGTACATAAATTATGTATATATATATATATATATTCTATGTATATAAATTATGTATATATATAATATATGTATATATATATATATATATATATATATATATATATATATATGCTATGTACATAAATTATGTATATATATATATATATATATTCTATGTATATAAATTATGTATATATATAATATATGTATATATATATATATATATGTATATATATATATATATATATATATATATATATATATATATATATATATATATATAATATATATATAAATATATATATTAGGGTGGTCCAGATTTGTGTGGTGAAAATTCAAAGTGTGTCTAGATTCTCTCCAAAAGCCTAACTTTGTTCCACTATGCTTAGGGAATAACCATACAAAAAATTGGACCAATCTGAACAGTTTTAGGGGTCGCTATGATTTCAACATTTTTTTGACGGTACTCGATTTATCGACGATTAATTAATTAATTAATTATTTCGACGATTATTCGACGATTATTCGACGATTAATTAATTAATCGACGATTCGATACGAATTTTTGTGTAAGTTTTGCATAATTGAACATCTATCTCAACATTGTGGTAAATAAATTAATGCTTGCTGAAAAGCAGATGCTATATAAATTCATTTATATATCTAATATCTTTTAGTTGTCTATTGTCACATGATTTGGCGGCCATCTTGTAATAAGCACATGTCTGCAGTATTTCAATAAAAATTTTATAAGGATTATTTTTTTATTTCTGGTAACCAATATTCTTATACTTAAGTATTATATTTTATATATATATTTATTATATAGTTAATATAATGAATTACAAATAAATTATTATTAAATTAAATAGTTTTCAAAAAGAATATGCTATAAAAATTCATTTATATATCTAATATCTTTTATCAATTGTCACATGATTAAGTGACCATCTTGTATTAAGCACATGTCTGCAATATTTCAAAACAAATTATGTTTTTCAGTAATGTTTTTTCATTTCTGTTAATAATATAAAGTACTAAATATTAATTATATAAAATGAAATAGTTGAAGAACAAAGAATCATTTCAACTTAAACTTCTGCAGGTAATTAATAAATAATAAAAATATATATTACACCACTTATGGCAGTTACTACAAGAAGCTCTGCAGAGGTATGGCTCATTGGGAAAGCATCTAAGCAGCTCTCCTCGTCAAGATTGGCAACAAATGGAGATGTCCTCCGGTGTCTCCTCTTTCATCATCTGGAAGAGCATCTCACAATAAAGGACAGCATTCACCATACGATTCAAGAGCTGATTGTTATGTGGAATAAGGCAAGAATCCCAATACAAAGAATTGATTCTGGTGAAAGAAAACTTCAGAAATTATACGATTCCTATCTGCTCCTAAAAAAGAATCGAACTACAGACCTGGAAAGCAGTAGAATTAAAGAACAGATGTTCAAAGACACACTTTACGAGCTTTTTGACTTGGCAACTAAAACCGCAATGGAGGCAATAACCATTGCTGAAGATAGGCAATTTCTTGCAATGCAGCGAGAAGATGTTACCAGTTGCAGCATGGCTGGAATTGATAAGAACTTACTGGCAAAGGAAGCCCGGAAGAGAGCTCGAGATCAAGCATATGATGCAAGGTTATCAAAACAGCAACACTCCAGTGGTCATCTCGATCCTGTCTCAGCCAACATCAGCAGCTCAGAAGACAGTCAAGACAGCGATGACGACCCAAGTTTTGAGATTCTGTCTTATGCATCGCAATCTGTTTTTTCTACACCAAAGCCAAAGCGTCTGAAGAGTATTGTTTCCAGCCCGGAAGTTGCTGGAGCTTTGGACAGAGTTAACCTTCCAGATCGCAAAGCTATGTTCGTTGTCGCTTAAGTGGCTAAGGCACTGGGACATCCTCTTGCAGACTTAACTCTGTCTCGAAGTACAATCAGGAGATCTCGAATGTCTACCCGTAAACACGTGACTCAGAATGACAAAGACAACTTTTCCATTGAATTTCCTTTGCTTCTACACTGGGATGGGAAACTGCTTCCAGATATCACCGGTTCAAAAGAAACCGTGGACCGATTTGCAGTGATTGTAACTGGAAATGGTTTGGAGAAATTGCTAGCAGTTCCAAAAATTGGAAGAGGAACAGGAGAGGAACGAGCAGCAGCTTGCTTAAAGATCTTGGATGATTGGAAAATTCGAGACAAACTTCAGGGTTTAGTCTTTGACACAACCTCGTCCAACACAGGTATCCACAAAGGAGCTTGTGTTCTCATCGAGAAAGCAGTTGGTCGTGATCTTGTAAATATTGGTTGCCGCCACCATGTTCTGGAGGTCATTCTGAGCAATGTCTTTACAGCTCTCTTTGGTGGAACAGGGGGACCTGAGGTTGGCTTGTTCAAACGGTTTCAGAAGAAGTGGCCATATATTCAGCAAGCGAGATTCTCTCCAGCTAAAGATGAGCTCTTCATCGGAGATATGGAAATCCTTCGAAAGGAAATGGTAGCATTCTACACCAGACCCATCGACGAAAAACAACCTAGGGAAGATTATCTTGAACTACTTCGGTTATGCCTGGTCTTTCTAGGGGGAGGCTCTGTTGGTGCTGAGATAAAATTTCGAGCTCCAGGAGCGATGCATCATGCTCGATGGATGTCAAAGGCCATCTACGCTCTGAAAATGGTACTATTTCAAGATCAGCTCACTCTGACTGTTCGAGAGAAGAAAGGTCTAGTAGAGCTTGCATTGTTTGTGGCATTAATTTACGGACGTTTTTGGCACGAAGCTCCACTGGCTGCAAATGCTCCGTTTAATGATGCTCAAATGCTGAAACAGTTCCAAAAGTATCCAAACCGCACAATCGCCGATGCAGCTTTTACTGCATTTTCTCGACACCTTTGGTTCCTCTCGGAACATCTTATAGGTCTGGCATTTTTTGATAGTCGCGTTGATCTGGATGTGAAGAGGGCCATGGTGGTTAACCTCCAACTGCCCAAGACAACTCTAGCACTGAAGAGAGTAGATTCCAAGAATACCGACTTCAACAGACTAGAGACATTCGTGAATATGAGAACCTATAGTTTATTCGAGTTGTTGAGCAGTACAGGGAGAGAGGAGGCCAGAAACTTCATTTCAAAAGATCCTAAATATTGGGAGGACGATGAATCATATCAGAAGTTGGCAGAGAGAGTCCAAAGAATGAAAGTTGTTAATGACAGCGCAGAACGTGGAATTGCATTAATTGGACAGTACAACGAATCGATTACAAAGGATGAAGAACAAAAGCAGTTCCTACTTCGTTTTGTTCAACGTCACCGGCAGCTATACCCTACTTCATCCAAGGCAGCCATGTTGGCGATAGATGACGAAATCGTTGATTAATAAACATACATTTTTCAACATATTCACAATATTCTTGATTTTACAGTTTTTTGTTTAAAAATTACGAAAGTTACGAAACGTTGATATACTTTAATAAAAATTGATCAATTGATGATCTATATTCATTAGATACTCTACAGGCATTCTATTTACCTGATTTAAATTGTTAGTGGCATTAATTTTTAAATTCGATATTATATTTATAGTGAAAACTTAAATTTTTTGATTTTTTTATCATTGTGGTCAAAAAGTCAAAATTTATAGCAACCCCTAAATATTATCCGATTTGCTTCAAATTTGGCTACAATATTGCAAATATTAATAGGAACAAAGGCAGCCTTGTGGAGAAATGAATTTCAATAATTTATAATTTTGGACCACCCTAATATATATATATATATATATAAACATATATGTATATATATATATACATATATACATATATATATATATATATATATATATATATATATATATATATATATATTATGTATATAAATTAAGAATATATATATATATATATATATATATATATATATATATATATATATATATATAATGTATACAAATTAAGAATATATATATATATATATATATATATATATATATAATGTATACAAATTAAGAATATATATATATATATATATATATATATATATATATATATATATATATATAAATATATATATATATATATATATATATATATATATATATATATGTGTGTATTTATATATATTCTATGTATATAAATTATGTATATATATATATTCTATGTATATAAATTATGTATATATATATATATATGTATATATATATATATTCTATGTATATAAATTATGTATATATATATTCTATGTATATAAATTATATATATATATATATAATATATATATTTTTTATGTTTATAAATTATGAATGTATACATATATATATATATATATATATATATATATATATATATATATATATATATATATATATATATATATATATATATATATATATATATATATACACTCAAAGAAAAAATCCGTTATATACAACGAATTGTGTCGCTATTGCACTAACGGGAACTCCGTTAAGTTAACGAATTAAAATTTTAACGAATTGAAGTCCGTTAGGAATAGTTCGTTGAATTTACGGATTTATTTCGTTAGTGCAACGAATAATCCGTTAAATTAAGGAGTTATTACACTAGGCAGCAAATTTTCCGCTGTTGTTATTCCTATAAAATAAATGTGTTTATAAGTTCTAAAATTAGAGAGGCCAGAATTGTGACTTCATGACCAAATAATCCTTATATTTGTTAATATTTGCATTTTTATTTAATTGCATTATTTTATTTCGATATTCTACATTAAAACGTTTTAACTAAAAATTGAAAACTAATCAAATATTTATAATATTTAACCCAATATACTTTAAATTACAATAAAAAAACACGAAAAATTTTTTTAATACACTATACTCAAGCTAGTACATTTATATAAAAAACACACATATATATAATAAATGTTTAAAATAAACCAATGCCAAGTTAGTTTTTGGTCGCTAGTTTTGGTTTGGTTGGTTTAAATAGGTTTTGGTTTTGAATACTGTTGTTACTCGTACACAGGTTCGCACTTTGAATCGGACACCATGCTGTCAACTCCTCAAAGATTAATATAAAATAAAATAAGGAAAACATGGAAACTTAATAACATAATAACACGTAGTATAGAACCAAAATACTGATAGCACTATAGAAAATGTTTTTGGTAATTCATTATATATAAATTTCTATTCTAAATTTTGTTATTTTAATTATTTCTGATATCGTTTTTTTAAAGATAAAGTTAAATGGAACAAGTAAATCATATCTTTATTAAAATGTAAATTAAAAAAAAGTATAAGATAACCTTGACATTATCTGGTAACTGAAAGACTCTATACATTTCACATACATCAATACCTATCAGGAGCAAAACATAAAGTCTCTAACCTTTTAAAAACTATGATAAATCAAAACAAGATTAAATATGCAGACCAAAAAAAACGCAAGTAACTATATAAAAAAATTAATTTTACAACTTATTTAAACTTACAGTGTCGTACCACTTGTCACATGTTTAAAATAGCTAATTCTAAAATAATAGTGACCAAAGAATATAATAGAATAATAGTTAAAAAAAGTATGATATAAACTTAGTCTTAACTATACTAAAAAAATATGCATGCCAAAAGAAAAGTTAAAATACAATTTTTTTAAATTTACTAATTCAAACTTACAGTGGGATACCACATGCCACGTGTCTAAAACAGTAAATTTTAAAATAATATAAACACGCCAGATATAAACTTATTATTATTATTATTATTATTATTATTATTATTATTATTATTATTATTAATAGTTGAAATTCAACTAAATAAATATGCACGCCAATAGAAATGCAAGTTACAATATAAATTTTACAAACAATTTAAACTTACAGTATGACAGCTTATACCAAGTGTCTAAAATAGCAAATTCTGAAATAATACAAACAAGCCATACACAAACTTAGTTGTAATCTAATTATATAAACATGAACGTCAAAAAAAATGCAAGTTAAAATATAATTTTTTTTTTTAAATATACTTATTCAAACTTACAGTGGGATACCACATGCCACATGTCTAAAACAGTAAATTCTAAAATAATACAAACACATCATATATAAACTTATATTAAACTCAACTAAATAAATATGCAAGTTACAATATAAATTCTACAACCAATTTAAACCTACAATGTGACACTAAATGCCATGCCTCTAAAGCAGCAAATTCTAAGATAGTATAAATAAATAAACATGAATGTTAAAAGAAAAAGAAGTTCCAATATAAATTTTTTAACTTTACAACTAGTTTTAACTTACAGTGATAACAAATGCCATGTGTCTAAAACAAAAAATTCTAAAATAATATAAACACACCAGTATAATCTTAGTTTATGATATTGGATTCCAAAATGTTTAATTTGGAAATTAATAAAAATTGCAATTTATAAAAGTATATTAACTAGCCATGTAAACTTAGCTGTAACTAACCTAAATAAATATACCTATCAAAGATGTTAACATTTTTAATTATACAACTGATTTAAACTAATATGGTATGTTACTACATGTCATATGTCTAAAATGTTAAACAAGACTATAAATAATCCATTTAGTCTATATTATAGAAATATTTGTTCAACTAACCCTATACTACTAGTAAAGGATTAATTGAACTTTTATTTCTATAATATAGACTATATGGATTGCATATATTCTTGCATAATTTTCTAGATTTAGACATGTAGTAACTTACCATATATTATATTTATTAACTTAACATATATGTTATTATATATTATTTAGTAATACTAATGGCTTTTAATTTAAAATAAAATAAACCTTATTGTTAAATTTTCTGTATAAAGCTTTATATAGAAAATTTAAAATAAGTTAAATAACCTTCGAAATAACATAGCGTAATTTAAATTATATTTATCCATTTGCTTTGTCTACTAAATGTAAAGCTTTTTAAAAAATGGCGTTTTACACTTTCTGCAACCAACTTTTATCTACGTTGAAAATGTAAATGTGAGAAAAACGCATTCAAAACTTTATAATTTTCAATATAAAAAGATATAATATACTAAAAATTTTTTTTTGACTGATTAGAATATTTAATAAATATAATATAATCTAATAAATCCCTAATAAATATCTGGTATGCTATCTTTGGGTCACACCTTAACTATGGATGCCAGATATGGGGACAGAATTATTCTGTAAACAAAAATAACCTTATAAATCTACAAAATAAGTCTATAAGATTAATCCACTTTCAACAAAATAGCTTTGACTTAGATATGCTATACAGGATATCAAAAATAATGAAACTAGATCAAATGATCTACTTGTTAAACAGTACATTTGCATGGGATGTTATACATAAAAATATACCAATGGGCTTCAACAATTATTTCAAGTTTACTGGTAATATTCACAACCACAATCTTAAATCAGTATCCTGCAACAACTTATCAATCCCATCAAAGCAGACATATAAGTATGGTATCAAATCAATAAAAAATCATTCAATTCATTACTGGAACTCCTTACCCCGTGAAATTAAAAAATCTACCAATCAAGTAAATAGAAATAGGTTTATTAAACAAGCAAAAGAGTTTATCATGAAAATGCAGGATGACACTACAAAATAAGTATATGAGTATATGTATTTGTGTGCATGTATGTTTGAATTTCTGTGTATGTGTATGTATACATGTATATATATATGTGTGTATTTGTATATACATGTGTATAATGCATATGCAATGTATGTGAACGTGTATACACGCGTTTTATATAACAATAACAAAAGATTCTGAAGAAAAAAATATATACTGAAATAAAATTAATAAAAAAAATCATTAAAAATTGTTAAAAAAATCAAAAACTACTTAAATTTTTAAAAAATTTAATATATTAAATACATTAAATAATACATTAAATTTAATCTATAAAATAAAAACACATTTAAACAAAAATTAAATTTAAAAATTCAGTATATATATATATATATATATATATATATATATATATATATATATATATATATATATATATATATATATATATGTATATGTGTGTATGTGTATATATATATATATATATATATATATATATATATATATATATATATATATATATATATATATATATATATATATATATATATGTATATATGTGTGTGTGTGTACATATATATATATATATATATATATATATATATATATATATATATATATATATAAAATATATATATATATATATATATATATATATATATATATATATATATATATATATATATATATTGTAGACTGATATTTGTGTATGTATATATGTATGTGTGTATATGTATGTATGTGTATGTGTGTATGTATATGTATGTATGTGTATATGTGTATATGCGTATGTGTGTGTGCATTTATATATATGTATGTGTGTTTGTGTATGTATCTATATTTGTATGTGTATGCATGTATGTCTATGTATGTTTGTATGTGTATGTATACATGTGTGTATACGTATGTATGTATGTATGTGTGCATGTGTATATGTGTGTATGTATATGTATATATGTATGTATATGTGTGTATGTGTATATGTTTATATGTATGTGTGTATATGTATATATATGTATATGTGTGTATATATATGTATGTGTGTGTATGTGTGTATATGTATATATGTGTATGTGTGTGTGTGTGTGTGTGTGTGTGTGTGTGTATGTATATATATATATATATATATATATATATTATGTGTGTGTGTGTGTGTATGTATATATATATATATATATGTGTATATGTATATATATACATATATGTATATATGTATGTGTGTATATATATGTGTGTGTGTGTGTGTGTGTGTATGTATATATATATATATATATATATATATATATATATATATATATATATATATATATATATATATATATATATATATATACATACACACACACACACACACACACACACACACACATATACATACTCAAAATTTAATTTTAACATTGCATCAAATTTTAAAGTTATTATGGATAAAGAATAAGAATAAAAATAAAAATAAAAAACAAAAAAATTAAAAAAAACAAAAAATATAAATAATCTTTTATTTACTTAACTTTCTACTAACTTTATCTTCCTTTCTACTAATAATGCAATATTATCTTATCTTTTATTTATTTTATTTATGAAATTATTTGCTTATTATACCTAAATTTGATATTATTATTATTGCTTCTAATTCACTATCATTATTACTTTTGACTACTAATTATTAATTAAGTTATTAATTTAATTTACTACTTTATTATGATAGCCTTTTATGTTATCTATTATCATTACTATTAGTATTAATATAGTTATATTTATTATTGTTATAATTTTACAATAATTGTTTTATATCATCGTAGGTCTATAAGCATTATCAGTTTTTAACTGTTTGTAAATGTCCCTTACTATTGTATATATATGATGATATACCTATATAGGATTTACTCACTTTCCTCCCAACCTTCCATCCCGACCTTCGTCATAACTAACGTCATAATCCGATAACGTCATAACGTTATAATCCGATAATGTTTTAAAATAAAAAAGATTAAATTTTTTTTTGTTTAAAGTTAATCTAGCGTTATAAAAAAAATATATAAAAAAGCAAATGTTTTTTAATTTTATACAGATGGAATCAAAGAACAAACCATTACAACAGTTCGATAAACCAAAACTTGTTGCAGTTGTAAAACCGTACAATTCAGAAAAACCAAAACCAAATCCGTATATGTACGATTCACATGGAAATCAAATACATAGTTGGGAAGTTCGTTAAAGCTGTTATATTTGTTTTTACAATAATAGAAGTTCTTTTTGCATTTTAAATGGAAGTATTTAATTTTATTAAAAAAAGTGGTATACAAATATGCAAGTTTTTTCAATGTGTTGGAAACTTTGTTAAACTTAATGCGATAAAATTATATAATTATACAAAATTGGAAAAGATAGCAAAATTGTTGTTACTCGTTTCTGGAAAGATTGCAAATTTTTTGTTAATGGTTTTGGTGTTTACGTTGCTGACATTATTAATGATATTATTCTTTCTTTTTGGAACACTACAATATATTGTTTGTGTGCTATTAGTCAAAATAAATGAATATGAACCTTTATGAATTGGAGAAGATTTGTAGAGAAGTATTAAATAATACTGACAAAAGAAAATATAAATCAATCGAGGAAATGATGGACAAGTTAGATTGTATTGTAGAAATTATAAACTTTACAAATTTAAAAGTACTTTATGAATTTTGTTTTATATTAACGTGTATACGAAAAAAATATTTTTATATTATTGTTATTGATACTCCGGGTTATAAAGAGAAACAGTCGAGTTTGGAATCGTTTATCATATGGAAATTTGATATACATAACAAACGTTTAGTTGTATTATTAAAACGCTTGGAAAATTTTATTAATTATTATAAGGGTTACGAAAAATTTAACTTAAAACACGAGCATGTATACGGTTGTAATACAATATTTAATAAATTAAAATGATACAATACAATGTTTTTATTTTCCAGCTCGATTAATCCCATAAGATATTCCTCCTGAAACTGCGCCACCTAAAGCGGCTCTTCCTATAACAGGTAAAAGTCTTGGTAAAAGTTTTGAAGCAATTGCACCTATTGCTCCTAAAAATTTTCCACGCATTCGTTTTTTGTAACGTCTTTTGAAACGTTTTTTATGTCTTTTTCCTTTTAGTCTTTTACGCATTTTAAAAATAATTTTTTAACGTATTATAGAAGATAGTAAACTGCCACCCAATAAAGCGCCTAATATCGGAAGAAATTTACCGCGTATTCGTTTCCTTCTACCGGCGCCTTTTAACGGAGGTAAATAAACTCCTCCTTTTCCTCGTCTTTTATGAATTTTTTTTCTACACAATCTATACATTACGTTGTTTTTGCAAATAATCTAACGCTAAACCTCCCACGTCTGATCTAAGTAAACGTCTGGCAAGATTTTTAACTCTTGTTATAATTTTTCCTTTACCTCGATGTTTGCGACCTCTTCTTTTACGATACCGTCTTCGCGCCATACAATTAATTTTGAGAAAGAACAAATATAAATGTTTTTTTTTTATATTTTTTTCAAATTAAATAGTCGTGCGTGCATAAAAAAATACAATTAAAACATGGTTAATTTAACTAAAACAAAAATGTTGTAAAAGGTGTTATGATGATTTAAATTTGAAAGGAAAATATGTGTAATTTTCGTCTTCTCCTGTTCCAGTTTGAACCAGTTGTGCCG